TTTTCCCGTTTATGTTCTATAGCATATGTATATATATATCTATATGTGACGGCTGCAGACAAAATGACTTACTTTCCGAGTTCCCGTCTCAGAGACACAAGATAGATTATATTCAAAGTTATTGTTTAGGGGCTTGATATAATTTTGCATATGGAAAGACAAAAGGTATTAAACTTGAAGAACAAAGGAACAGTTTAAAATTCACAAATTTGATGTGTGTATTTTCGGCCTACGTATCCATTCGTGGCTTGCGAGAAGTAACTCATTTTGTCAGCACGCCTCACATATATATATATATAAATATATATATATATAAAAATTATATATATATATATATATATATATATATATATATATGTGTGTGTGTGTGTGTGTGTGTGTGTGTGTGTGTGTGTGTGTGTGTGTGTGTGTGTGTGTGTGTGTGTGTATGTGGGTGGGTGGGTGGATGAGTGTGTGTGTGTGCGCCCCCCTCCCCCCATTTACTTGTACTGCGGAGGGATTTTCTTTTTGTGATGTATCATTTGTGGTGTGTGTGTATGTCCTCATAACCGCCATTTTTTGTTGTTGCGTTTTGTCATCAATTTCAAGGGTTATATTTTGAGAAGCCCATTCAGTCTTTTAGCTCTGCTACACCAGATATAGATATAAAATCGAATGTTCTGCCCCGGTTTGGAAAGAGACAATATAAATGGAATTAGAACGTATTATATAATGCAGTTTTGTACAATTTCGATCCTCTTAGTGGTGTACTTATTCTATAATTTTAGCACGAATAATTGTATGTTTAATGTTCTATTCAAGGTGTGCTTATCCAGTAGTCTATCCCTTCTTAGTCCTCCATAATTATAGAGTCAACCCAGTTTAAAATAGGTCTAGAGAATTGATTCTTCAATTTGATGTCAATCCCCCCCCCCCCAATAGACCCACCTCTTCGTGTACAAGTAAATGCAGGGATTAGTACTCTTCGAATAGGAAAAGAAAAAGAGGAAGCTAACGGGTCAAGGGGTGACCCCGAAAAGCGACATATTACTTTATTTTGTTTCTTACTCTTTCTATTTATTGTTTTTATTGTATTACTTTATTACATTTATTAACTTTTCTTTTCTCTACACCGACAACCTTTCTTTGACCTGAAGTTGGGACGGGTATTGGTGGGGTGGAAAGCAGAGGTTCATTGTCAGCACTGTACTGGATGTGACTTTACGTAGGGAATACCCAGCTACATACATGTATTAAGCATGCACTTATCGGAGAGCCCTAGGACTGCGGAGAAGGTGCAGAGACCATTTGCGTCTTGCTTGTTGACAACATTAACCCTCTGGGATCTGCCATGCCTTCCCCTGCCGCCATCTCTCGGATGAGAGGACTTGGTTGCTCTGGGAAGGGGGGGGGGGGATCTAGCTTCCAATTGGTATTATTACTACTATTAAAATTATTATTATTATATTATATTTTTTTTGTATTTCAGCAACACACAGCAACTATGCTCTTAAAAGCGTCTTCCTATTCTTTATCTCTTCAAACAACTCCTCAATATAATACAACAGACACCAACATACCCATTCATTTTTCTTACAATCTCTCTGTGATGTAGTTGGTTTTTTTGTTTCAGGCATTGCACCTCCAGCCACTGCTTTATCTCCTACCCCGGGATGGAAGGAAAATCACAGAACCACCAGTTTTAGATGCTATTCACAAATGATAGAATCCCATACGAGCTGAGACGCCGCCTCGGTAATCAAGGTCTCCCCCAGGTCTTAGTGGGCAACCAAGCTGGCCTGGTGGATGGTTATTGAAAGGAAAAGAAAATCCGAAAGCAGAGAAAATGGAAAAAAACAAGAAGAAAACATCCCTTACAACTGGTAACGGAAAAGAGAAGCTTATAGACTTCAATATCCTTCAGAAAAATGTCTGTGGCTTGGACAAGAAGAAAACACAATTGGGGAACATTTTGTATGAAAGGAAAGTCCACATTGCTCTATTACAGGAAACTCTCCATTCATCCTGTGACATAAACATCACTAGGTATACCCCTTATCCATGTAAATGTGAAGGTTGCCAAGGGATTATAACCTATATCAGAAATGACATGCAGGGTGGAGTAGAGCTCCTTAACTGGCACCCCACAGAGGCACATTAAGTCACCCTGTGGTATGGCAACAGCAAGCTCATACTCTATAACATCTATTGTCCCCCAAGTAACATTCTGAACTTCATGGAACAGAGTACTATCTTTAAGAAGACGGTCATAGCTGTTTGTTTGATGTGGACACTCCCCCCTTTGGGGCTATGCTGACCAAAACAACACAGGTAAGAAGATTGAAGAACTATGTCAGTCCTCTAACCTCATCCTTCTCCAAGATGAGAATTCAACCAAAACACGTCTTCATAGGAGACATGGGACCCCCCCC